CCTCTCTCTCTCTCTGGTCTCTCTCTCTGGCCTCTCTCTCTCTGGCCTCTCTCTCTCTGGCCTCTCTCTCTCTGGCCTCTCTCTCTCTGGCCTCTCTCTCTCTGGCCTCTCTCTCTCTGGCCTCTCTCTCTCTGGCCTCTCTCTCTCTCTGGCCTCTCTCTCTGGCCTCTCTCTCTGGCCTCTCTCTCTCTGGCCTCTCTCTCTGGCCTCTCTCTCTCTGGCCTCTCTCTCTCTGGCCTCTCTCTCTCTCTGGCCTCTCTCTCTCTGGCCTCTCTCTCTCTCTGGCCTCTCTCTCTGGCCTCTCTCTCTCTGGCCTCTCTCTCTCTGGCCTCTCTCTCTCTGGCCTCTCTCTCTCTGACAGACACAGAGACAGACACAGACACAGAGACAGACACAGACACAGACACAGAGAGAGAGACAGACACAGAGACAGAGACAGACACAGAGACAGAGACAGACACAGAGACAGAGACAGACACAGAGACAGACACAGAGAGAGAGACAGACACAGAGACAGACACAGACACAGAGACAGACACAGACACAGAGACAGACACAGACACAGAGACAGAGGCAGACACAGAGACAGACACAGACAGACAAAGACACAGAGACAGACACAGAGACAGACAGACACAGAGACAGACACAGAGACAGACAGACACAGAGACAGACACAGAGACAGAGACAGACACAGACACAGAGCAGAGACAGACACAGTGACAGACACAGAGCAGACACAGAGACAGACACAGACACAGAGACAGACACAGACACAGAGACAGACACAGAGCAGACACAGAACAGACACAGAGACAGACACAGAGCAGACACAGACACAGACACAGACACAGAACAGACACACATGTCCCTCTTCCATGTAAGTGGTCCAGTGTCAGACCCTCACAAAACTGGATCCTTCTGCTCCAGGAATGTCCAACATTTTTAGAAAGAGGAACACTTTTGTTCACCAGGCGTTTCTAGGGGACTATGTAACAGGGCGCACCAGCTACATTTTTAAATAAAGTAAATGTTGTCCACATATAGGCCGCGGCTGAATATAAGGTTTTCATGTTGTAATGAAGCAGAGAGACATCCGTTTTAACTCGTCACTACATGATTTCAGGACGAGGTGGTTAGCAGCTAAACCGTTAGCTTAGCCCTCTTTGGTAAATAAAAATACACATGTTAACCCCAGGTTTCAAAGAACTAGTTCGGAAATTACTGAATGTAGTACAAGTGCGAAGGCAAAGTTACGAGACATCTTTGAAAGCATCCTCGGGTCTAGATCGCGCTCCGCATTTTTACTAACATCTGTGGGATTAACAACTGTGGGATTAACAACTGTGGGGCTAACGACTGTGGGGCTAACGACTGTGGGGCTAACGACTGTGGGGCTAACGACTGTGGGGCTAACGACTGTGGGGCTAACGACTGTGGGGCTAACGACTGTGGGACTAACGACTGTGGGACTAACGACTGTGGGGCTAACGACTGTGGGACTAACGACTGTGGGACTAACGACTGTGGGACTAACAACTGTGGGACTAACAACTGTGGGACTAACAACTGTGGGATTAACAACTGTGTTTCGGCTTCTGATGTTGTGTGGACTAACAACATCAGAAGCCGACTCTGTACTTTAGCCTCCGTACTTCAGCCTCTGTAGTCTCTTTACCCGTAGCGTGTAGTTGATGGTGTTCTGCTTCTCGTACTGCGACACCACCAGGGTGAAGGTGTGGCTGCCGGGTCCCGTCAGTTTGATCTTGGTCAGATAGTGCGGGCTGTTGATGCGGATGCCGTCGATGTACGGAGGAGGGTCGGCTGCACAGAGACATTTACAGCATTTACAGTTTTTACAGCTAGCTTAAAAACATAGCAGCTATATTATTGTATATTTATAATATTGTATATTTTGTGTGTTCTCTTACTACTGTTGCTACAACTACTGTACTCTGTCACAGTCAAAGAGCTGGATTTAAGTCTGGATTCATAAAGAACCTCAAGAACATACAGAGCAGAGCATCTCTCTCTCTGGTCTCTCTCTCTGGTCTCCCTCTCTCTCTGGTCTCTCTCTCTCTCTGGCCTCTCTCTCTCGCTGGTCTCTCTCTGGCCTCTCTCTATCTGGCCTCTCTCTCTGGCCTCTCTCTCTGGCCTCTCTCTCTGGCCTCTCTCTCTCTCTGGTCTCTCTCTCTCTCTGGTCTCTCTCTCTGGCCTCTCTCTCTCTGGCCTCTCTCTCTCTGGCCTCTCTCTCTCTGGCCTCTCTCTCTGGCCTCTCTCTCTGGCCCCTCTCTCTGGCCCCTCTCTCTGGCCTCTCTGGTCTCTCTCTGGCCTCTCTCTCTCTCTGGTCTCTCTCTCTCTGGTCTCTCTCTCTCTGGTCTCTCTCTCTCTGGTCTCTCTCTCTCTGGTCTCTCTCTCTCTGGTCTCTCTCTCTCTGGCCTCTCTCTCTCTGGCCTCTCTCTCTCTGGCCTCTCTCTCTCTGGCCTCTCTCTCTGGTCTCTCTCTCTCTCTCTGGCCTCTCTCTCTGGCCCCTCTCTCTCTGGCCTCTCTCTCTCTGGTCTCTCTCTCTGGCCTCTCTCTCTGGCCTCTCTCTCTGGCCTCTCTCTCTGCCTCTCTCTCTGGCCTCTCTCTCGCCTCTCTCTCTCTGGCCTCTCTCTCTCTGGCCTCTCTCTGGCCTCTCTCTCTGGCCTCTCTCTCTGGCCTCTCTCTCTGGCCTCTCTCTCTCTGGCCTCTCTCTCTCTGGCCTCTCTCTCTCTGGCCTCTCTCTCTCTGGCCTCTCTCTGGCCTCTCTCTGGCCTCTCTCTCTGGCCTCTCTCTCTGGCCTCTCTCTCTGGCCTCTCTCTCTGGCCTCTCTCTCTGGCCTCTCTCTCTGGCCCCTCTCTCTGGCCTCTCTCTCTCTCTGGCCTCTCTCTCTCTCTGGTCTCTCTCTCTCTCTGGTCTCTCTCTCTGGCCTCTCTCTCTCTGGCCTCTCTCTCTGGCCTCTCTCTCTGGCCTCTTTCTCTGGCCCCTCTCTCTGGCCTCTCTCTCTCTCTGGCCTCTCTCTCTGGTCTCTCTCTGGCCTCTCTCTCTCTGGTCTCTCTCTCTCTGGTCTCTCTCTCTCTGGCCTCTCTCTCTCTGGTCTCTCTCTCTCTGGTCTCTCTCTCTCTGGTCTCTCTCTCTGGCCCCTCTCTCTGGCCCCTCTCTCTCTGGCCTCTCTCTCTCTCTGGTCTCTCTCTGGCCTCTCTCTCTCTGGTCTCTCTCTCTCTGGTCTCTCTCTCTCTGGCCCCTCTCTCTCTGGTCTCTCTCTCTGGCCTCTCTCTCTCTGGCCTCTCTCTCTCTCTGGTCTCTCTCTGGCCTCTCTCTCTCTCTGGCCTCTCTCTCTCGCTGGTCTCTCTCTGGCCTCTCTCTATCTGGTCTCTCTCTCTCTGGTCTCTCTCTCTCTGGTCTCTCTCTCTCTGGTCTCTCTCTCTCTGGTCTCTCTCTCTCTGGTCTCTCTCTCTGGCCTCTCTCTCTGGCCCCTCTCTCTCTGGCCCCTCTCTCTCTGGCTCTCTCTCTCTCTCTGGCCTCTCTCTCTCTGGCCTCTCTCTCTCTGGTCTCTCTCTCTCTCTGGTCTCTCTCTCTCTGGCCTCTCTCTCTGGCCTCTCTCTCTGGCCTCTCTCTCTGGCCCCTCTCTCTCTGGCCTCTCTCTCTCTCTGGCCTCTCTCTCTGGCCTCTCTCTCTCTGGCCTCTCCCTCTCCCTCTCTCTCGCCTCTCTCCCTGGCCTCTCTCTCTCTGGTCTCTCCCTCTCTGGTCTCTCCCTCTCTCTGGCCTCTCTCTCTCTGGCCTCTCTCTCTCTGGTCTCTCCCTCTCTGGTCTCTCCCTCTCTCTGGCCTCTCTCTCTCTGGTCTCTCCCTCTCTCTGGCCTCTCTCTCTCTGGTCTCTCCCTCTCTCTCGCCTCTCTCTCCGGCCTCTCTCTCTCTAGTCTCTCCCTCTCTATTGCCTCTCTCCCTGGTCTCTCTCTGCCTCAGGTCTCTCTTTCCCTGGTCTCTCTCTGCCTCAGGTCTCTCTTTCCCTGGTCTCTCTCTGCCTCAGGTCTCTCTTTCCCTGGTCTCTCTCTGCCTCAGGTCTCTCTCTCTGGCCACATCTCACCTGGATAATACACCTTCTTCCCATCGTTTTTGTAAACAACAAGCGTGATGAACTCTCGGTTTTGTGCAAAATCGTCCTGTGAAGAAAAGAAAGAAATCACGAACATGTTAAACGTGCTAGATTATATATAAGGTTTAAAAAAAAAATGTTTTATTTCTTAAAAAAAACAGACACACACTAAAGAAGCAACATAAAATAATTATGACAAATGTTTCCACCACCGCATCAGAAGTTCAGACGTTTATAGAAGTTCCTGTTTTTGTGAAATATGCAAAAATTATTTTAACAGCTGCATCCATAGACTGTAAATAATAACAGACGTAGTCACGCCATTACTTTCGCCTTCGATGGGGCTTTTCAAAATGGCCCGAGGTCCACCCCCACTGGCCCGGGGTGGATTTGCAAGCATGTCGGCGCACATCACTTTGGACATTTTTGAGCCGGGACCCGCCCACACTGGTTGCAACACAAAGTCCTAAAACAATGCCACAAATACTTTATAATAATATAATAATTGGTTTAGACTCCTGGGGCGACAGTAGCTCAGTTGGTAGAGCATTGGCCTTCAGGCCTGAAGGTTGTGGGTTCAATGCCCACCTCTACACCTTCTCCACAGACTCCCACTGATGACTGCTGTCGTTGTGTCCTTGGGCAAGACACTTAACCCCACTTTGCCCAAAGCCCCCACTGAAAGATCAAGGCTATGCTCACACTCAGAGAGCAGCCGTCCTCCTGTGGACTCACCACCTGCAGAGGGTCAGTGAGGGGCTGGTGCTATGAGACTTGGGTGGCATCTCTGACTGCCCCCCCCCTGACCCAGAAATGGATTAAAGGGTAGAAAATGGATGGAATGGATGGATGGGTTTAGACTCCAGATAAATGTGTCCAGGGCCTTGGTCAAAAGCTGCCCTTTGACTGTTTTTCAGACGGACAGATGGAAGTACCTTGTCAGTGATGTGTCGCGTGAGGAGCACCCACACAGCAGCGCCCCCTGTTGGACTCTGCACCTCCAGTCTGTACTGAGGGTTGTTGGCCAGACTGTACACGTCCTTCACAGGGCCCTGTCTGCCATCCCAACTACTGCAAGCGAGAAACACACATATACACAGACGGACACACACAAACACACACACACACACAGATACAGACACACAGACGCAGACACAGAATTGTAATATGATTAATATCTCATTGAAAATGTTGAATCTTCCATAGAGCTACATGTAACTAGAGAATCTCCCCCAGACCAGAGAGAGACCAGAGAGAGACCAGAGAGAGACCAGAGAGAGACCAGAGAGAGACCAGAGACAGACCAGAGAGAGACACCAGAGAGAGACACCAGTGAGAGACCAGAGAGAGACCAGAGAGAGAGCAGAGAGAGAGCAGAGAGAGACCAGAGAGAGAGCAGAGAGAGAGCAGAGAGAGACCAGAGACAGACCAGAGACAGACCAGAGAGAGACCAGAGAGAGACACTAGTGAGAGACACCAGTGAGAGACACCAGAGAGAGACCAGAGAGAGACACCAGTGAGAGACCAGAGAGAGACCAGAGAGAGACCAGAGAGAGACACCAGTGAGAGACCAGAGAGAGACACCAGTGAGAGACACCAGTGAGAGACACCAGTGAGAGACCAGAGAGAGACCAGAGATAGAGCAGGGAGAGACACCAGTGAGAGACCAGAGAGAGACACCAGTGAGAGACCAGAGAGAGACCAGAGAGAGACCAGAGAGAGACCAGAGAGAGACCAGAGAGAGACCAGAGAGAGACCAGAGAGAGACCAGAGAGAGAGCAAAGAGAGAGCAAAGAGAGACCAAAAAGAAAGACCAGAGACAGACTAGAGAGAGACCAGAGACAGACCAGAGATAGAGCAGAGATAGAGCAGAGATAGAGCAGAGACCACAGATAGACCAGAGAGAGAGACCAAAGAGAAAGAATTTCAAAAGAAAAATGGTTCAAGATGAAAAAAGATACTAAAAGCTGAAAAAGCTGTAGATCCCCGACTCTGAGGACGATTCGTTATAGTTCACACTGAGATCTCCTCACAGCCTGTGTGGATTTAAACTGCAGTACCGCGGGTGGCCACTTGTCCAAAGGGGGCGGGTTTAAGCAGTAATACTCTACATATCATAACACATTTGTGGAGTTGACCTGTGTATGCAGAAGGACTCTTTAAAAAGGGCGGGGTTCCAGCTCAGATAGATGACATCATAGTACTGACACAGGTCCTCCCAAGTGATCCAGAACACACCTGCAGAACAAACATTAAAGAATTAAACTTTAAAAAAAACAACTTTAACCAGAGATAGACCAGTTAGGGAGACCAGAGAGGGAGACCAGAGAGGGAGACCAGAGAGGGAGACAAGAGAGAGACCAGAGAGGGAGACCAGAGAGGGAGACCAGAGAGGGAGACCAGAGAGGGAGACCAGAGAGGGAGACCAGAGAGGGAGACCAGAGAGGGAGACCAGAGAGAGACCAGAGAGAGAGACCAGAGAGGGAGACCAGAGAGAGACCAGAGAGGGAGACCAGAGAGGGAGACCAGAGAGAGACCAGAGAAAGAGACCAGAGAGGGAGACCAGAGAGGGAGACCAGAGAGGGAGACCAGAGAGGGAGACCAGAGAGGGAGACCAGAGAGGGAGACCAGAGAAGGAGACTAGAGAGGGAGACTAGAGAAGAAGACCAGAGAGAGAGACCAGAGAGAGACCAGAGAGAGACCAGAGAGGGAGACCAGAAAGGGAGACTAGAGAGGGAGACCAGAGAGAGACTGGAACGACAGTCTAGAGAGAGAGACTAGAGAGAGAGAGAGACCAAAAACTTGGGAGCCAGTCCGTGCAATTGTTATTCGTTAAACCGGTCCGTGGCACTAAGAAGGTTGGAGCTCGCAGTTGTAAAGGACGTGACATTGTACCGTTATCAAACTTCTGCGCCGTCTTGGGGTCGAAGTTCAGGTATTTGAGCAGCTCCGGGGTCCAGTTCTTCTCGTCCCTCTCGCTGTAACGACCTTTCCATCTCAAGTGGCTCCATGGGTTCTTCAGCTGCAGGAAGCGCATTCCCTGCACAAACAATAGCTGCATTTTAACAATATTACTTTAAGCCATTTTAAAAAGTAAGGCCTAGAGAGACTTGGACCTAGAGAGTCTGCAGAGGGGACTGTGGCCTTCACCTTGTATTCCCGTATGTCCAGGACAGCGTAGGCGTGAGTGGGAACCAGACCCCATTTCTCCCCCTCCTCCTCCGTCATCACTCCTGTCGCCGTGGTGACCAGGACGTCTCCTCTGTGAAATCTAACACAAGAGATATGTGAATGTAGCTTCATGGAGTTAGAGATGATGCTGAAGTTGGAGTGCCGAACACAGACAAATAATAGTAATAATAATAATAATAATAATAATAATAGTAATAATGCATCAGTTTTATATATCGCTTTTTTGGACTCTCAAAGACGCTTCACATGTCATTATTCTTTCACTCCAAACACGGTGGTGATAAACTACTACTGTAGCCACAGCTTCCCTGGGGCACACGGACAGAAGCGAGGCAACCATTATGTGCCATCGGCCCCTCCCACCACCACCAACCATTCACACACACACCTGACTCATTCTAAGCAATGGGGGGTGAAGTGTCGTAGACCCAGGACTGAGGCTGTAGACCCAGGACTGAGGCTGTAGATCCAGGACTGAGGCTGTAGATCCAGGACTGAGGCTGTAGACCCAGGACTGAGGCTGTAGATCCAGGACTGAGGCTGTAGATCCAGGACTGAGGCTGTAGATCCAGGACTGAGGCTGTAGATCCAGGACTGAGGCTGTAGATCCAGGACTGAGGCTGTAGACCCAGGACTGAGGCTGTAGATCCAGGACTGAGGCTGTAGACCCAGGACTGAGGCTGTAGACCCAGGACTGAGGCTGTAGACCCAAGACTGAGGCTGTAGATCCAGGACTGAGGCTGTAGACCCAGGACTGAGGCTGTAAATCCAGGACTGAGGCTGTAGATCCAGGACTGAGGCTGTAGAGACTGGTTCTAGCTCTTAAAACTGTAAACTGCATATATTTTTGGCCCGGTTAAATTTTTAGATTAGTTTTTACAATTTTTGTTTAAAACAAAACAAGTTAGACTAAGAGATTAAGATTAAGAGATTGTTTAGGCACTCTTACTTTAATTGTAATGTAATATAATGTCTTTGTTTGTGCCTGACCTATGAGAGAACCATTATGATTAAAAAAAAAAACATTAATAGATCTTTAGCTGTGTTTTTGTGCATGTATGAGAAATCTTCACTCTCAGTACAACTACACACAGTTCTGCTCAACACAACAGCACCCTCTAGTGGATGACCAAAGCGTGTTTCATTAATGATGGAGCCTCACCTCTGGTGCAACATCCGGAAGGTTCCGTCTTTACTGAACGAGTGGTTGTCTGAGTGCATAGCGATGCGCTCGGGGATCCAGCCTGTGAGCGCGTGGAGGTCGATGTTCTGAAAAACACAGAAAATACATCTGTTGTAAAAATGTGATCTGGGAATTCTGGGAGCCCGGATGTTACTGAATAATTCTAAATGGTATTGAGGCATTTAGATCGATCGATAGATCGATAGATAGATAGACCTTTATCGTCCCCTGAGGCTATTTCATTTCAGCACTGTCACATACAGGTTACAATAGACACAGGATACACAGAAGGAGAGAGAAACACATACAACAACAGGACTGTTAAGAGCTGCTGTAGCTGAAGGGACAAAACTTTTACTAAATCTTACCCGCTTCCATCTTAATGTTCTGTATCTGCAGAACATTAAGATGGAAGCGGGAAAGCATTACAGCATTTACAGCTAAGAAACATAGCAGCCACTTACTTATTTTGTATATTATGTGTGCTCCCTGTGTGCTCTCACTAATGTCCTGTGTGTGCGCTGCGACATTGAAATTTACCCACTGTGGGACGAATAAAGGCTCTCTTATCTTCATCTTACAGTGGACCAGATGTTGTGTGAAAGGAGCATTAGAGACGGGGGCTAAACTCAGGCCCTAGGGTCAAATCCGGCCAGCGAGACCATTTGTAGTAGCCCCTGAAATGATTCTCAATTATCATCATGAGAGAGACCAGAGAATTATATGGTTATATGGTAACCAATTAATTAAATCTGTTCTAAAAATGTTAACTGTGTATATGTATTTTTATAATTAACTAAAAATCTTCAATTATACATAATTTTTTATATTTGGCCCAGTTGGGGTTGAATCCAAACCTACCAGAAATGAACATCCAAACTGATGTTGAATAAAAAAGAATTTGTAGAGACCTCCCATTTCTTTAGAGGCATATGAGCACCTGGGCTGGCAACCACTTTGTATTTTGAATTCATGAATAAATAAGATTTTGGACCTCTGAGCTGAGTGTGCAATGGTTCCCTGTTTCCTGAAATAAAATGAATTTGTCAAAACACAAAAATATATAAATGATAATTCCAGCGGACTAAGCTAACTTTGGTCGGGGTCCTACGCACTGTTCCTCTCTCTCTGTGGTGTTGATTGTTATTGACTTCTTACCGAGTTGGATCCTGGGAAGTCGTATCCGCCCATGACCTTCATGTAGGCCTTCTCTATCAGCGACACCCACAGCTCGTTCCTGTTACTGGAGTAAGAACACAGCAGCTCTCCGTTCCGGTCCACAGGCAGGAAGTCGTCAATGATCACCTACAACACCACAGGATTTGTATAGCACAGTTCATACATAAGGCTGAAAGGGCTGAACAAAACAAGATGGAAACATTGAAAAGAGTGGAAGTATGTCCAGACAGACCAGAGAGAGAGACTAGAAAGAGAGAGACCAGAGAGAGACCAGAGAGAGACCAAAGAGAGACTAGAAAGAGAGAGACCAGAGAGAGAAAAGAGAGAGACAAGAGAGAGACCAGAGAGAGAGTAGAGAGAGACCAGAGAGAGACACGAAAGAGACCAGAGGGAGAGAGAGAGACTAGAGAGAGAGACCAGAGAGAGAGACTGAAGAGAGACCAGAGAGAGAGACTGAAGAGAGACCAGAGAGAGAGACCAGAGAGAGACCAGAGAGAGAGACTGAAGAGAGACCAGAGAGAGAGACCAGAGAGAGACCAGAGAGACAAGCTAGAGAGAGAGACCAGACAGAGAGACTAGAAAGAGAGAGACCAAAGAGAGAGAGACCAGATAGAGACCAAAGAGAGAGACCAGAAAGAGAGAGAATAGAGAGAGACAAGAAAGAGACCAGAGAGAGAGTAGAGAGAGAGAGCGAGTAGAGAGAGAGCAGAGAGAGACCAGAGAGAGACCACAGGGAGAGAGAGAGACACGAAAGAGACCAGAGGGAGAGAGAGAGACTAGAGAGAGAGACCAGAGAGAGAGACTGAAGAGAGACCAGAGAGAGACCAGAGAGAGAGACTTGAAAGAGAGACCAGAGAGAGACAAGCTAGAGAGAGAGACCAGACAGAGAGACTAGAAAGAGAGAGACCAAAGAGAGAGAGACCAGATAGAGACCAAAGAGAGAGACCAGAAAGAGAGACAAGAAAGATACCAGAGAGAGAGACCAGAGAGAGAATAGAGATAATAGAGAGAGACAAGAGAGAGAGTAGAGAGAGAGAGCAGAGTAGAGAGAGCAGAGGGACACCACAGGGAGAGAGAGAGAGACCAGAGGGAGAGAGAGAGACTAGAGAGAGAGACCAGAGAGAGACTGAAGAGAGACTAGAGAGAGACTAGAGAGAGACCAGAGAGAGAGACTGAAGAGAGACTAGAGAAAGACCAGAAAAAGACCAGACAGAGACCAGAGATAGACCAGAGAGAGAGACCAGAGAGACAAGAGAGAGACCAGAGAGAGAGACCAGAGAGAGAGACCAGACTTTGTACCTTTCGCGAGACTCCGTTGATGTGCAGTTTGACCATGTACTTCCCACAGGGGTTATACTCCGGCTCCCCTTTCCTGTTCTGAGGGTAAATGATGCTAAAACACGACAAAGAAGAAAAACATTAAAAATACAAACACATAAACTGACGCTCTGCAGAATAATTAGACACAACATGGTACGACACCTGGTGATGAGTTTCTTATTGTAGCGTCGTTCATAAGCAGCACTGATGGCGAGGGAGGCCACGAAAGAACAGTCAGAGACCACCGTCTGCAAGGAACAGGCACGACACTAGCATTAAAGCACGGCCGCACACACACACATATTTGGCGCAAAGCATCATGGGAGCTTGTCCACTGCACAGAACCAGGAGGACCAGACGATGCCCAAATATAGGCCAGATCCGCTAATCTTTCCGTCCTCCTGTAAGTCCCATGCACTACTGTGCACAAGCCATTCATTTGAATACGACGCCATCTTGGATTCACCGGGGCTTGGTTTGGACTAATAACTATAACAAAGAAACAACTTTGCGACAGTAGCTCAGTTGGTAGAGCATTGGCTTTTGAGCCTAGAGGTCGTGGGTTCGAGCCCACCGTAAGACCTACTTCACGACTCCCACTGAGGACTGCTGTCGTTGTGTCCTTGGGCAAGACACCTAACCCCACTTTGCCTGAAGCCCCCACTGAAAGATCTCAGCTCCTGTGGACTCACCACCTGCAGGAGGATCAGTGAGGGGCTGGTGCTCTGTGTACTGGGTGGCATCTCTGGCCGCCCCCCCGACCCAGAAATGGATTAAGGGGAAGAAAATGGATGGATGGATGGAAGAAACAACTTCAAGCTGTATTTTGCTTCAGGAGAGGCAGTATTAAATCAAGGGTGTTCTTTACAGAGATCATTCACAACAAATGCAGCTTGTTCCATGGAAGGTTCTAGATATTCTTCCGGCCAATTTTCAGTTGAGAAACATTTTGGTTTATGTACCTTCCAATGAATAAGAATGGTCCGCTTTAGTGATAAAAAAGGTAAGGGTCATGAGGCAAGACCCTCCAAGTGACGCTACAGTCGGATATTATTGTTGAGCAATTTGCAGTTTCTTACATAATTATTCCAAAACATTTTTATCTCTGGGCAGCGCCACATTTGGTGCATGAGAAAGTTGGGGAAAATAATAAGAACAGCCTGAATCCTGCCAGAACAGATTTACTATTCTGGGTTGTTGGCTCCTGTTTTCATTGTAATGTTACACAACGTTGTAACTTTAAACGTTTATAAGTTGTGTTATATGTTGTGTTGTATGTTGTGGCTCCGGACCCCGTGCTGATGGTAGAGAATGTTCTGGAAGGTTGAGAGTGACCTGTTTGATGCTGAGGCTGGACACAGACAGGATCATGGTCGGGTTGTTGGAAAACTCGTCCGGTCGAACCCAGCGAGAGAAGATGGCCTTCTGTTTGGGAGACAGGGCCAGCTTTCCCACTTTGTCCCTGTGGAGGAAGACCAGGTGGGGTCAGGTCAGGGAGAGAGAGAGAGACCAGAAAGAGAGAGGCCAGACAGAGAGACCAGAGAGAGAGACCAGGGAGAGAGACCAGAGAGAGACTATAGAGAGAGGCCAGAGAGAGAGACCAGAGAGAGAGACCAGGGAGAGAGATACCAGAAAGAGAGATCAGAGAGAGAGAGACCAGAGAGAGAGACCAGGGAGAGAGACCAGAGAGAGACTATAGAGAGAGGCCAGAGAGAGAGACCAGAGAGAGATACCAGAGAGAGATACCAGAGAGAGAGACCAGAGAGAGAGACCAGGGAGAGAGATACCAGAAAGAGAGATCAGAAAGAGATAGACCAGAGAGAGAGAGATGCCAGAAAGAGAGATCAGAAAGAGATAGACCAGAGAGAGAGAGAGGCCCAGAGAGAGAGACCAGAGAAAGAGACCAGAGAAAGAGACCAGAGAGAGAGACCAGAGAAAGAGAGAGACCAGAGCGAGAGACCAGAGAGAGAGACCAGAGAGATAGACCAGAGAGAGAGACCAGAGAGAGAGACCAGAGAGAGAGACCAGAGAAAGAGACCAGAGAAAGAGAGAGACCAGAGCGAGAGACCAGACAGAGAGACCAGAGAAAGAGAGAGACCAGAGAGATCATCACACTGTCTGTCTGAGATACTCACGAGAAGGGGACGGGGAAGGCGAAGCGCTCCTTCAGATCCACGCTCATGAAGGGCACGTAGGCGATGCCGTTGATGGTGGAGGTTGCCCTGAAACACATTTACTTTTAAATGCTCTGGAAACAGCAGGGAGTTCTAAGCCGCTCTGAAACAGTATTTATTTTTCTTGCTTTCTTCTAGCTGTTCATGTTACTGCAGTACAGTGTTCATGGTTTTACACTGATCCAGACCAGAGCAGAGAGGAAGCACGGTCCCATCCAAGCAGAGCGAGCAAAAAAACACATGAAGAATACTAATCTTTAAGCCCTAGCATACATCAAAAACAGTGATACATCAAAATAGGATTATAGGCCAAATAGGCTATTTTGGGGGAGTTCAAAGGGCACCAGAGGGTGAGGCTCAGGGAGGAACCCCAGAGTCTAGTCACTTGCCTCATAATTAGACTCTGGGGTGGGAGGGGGCATTCAATTCCAACGATCATGTGACCATGAAAATGTAAAGTTTTGTATCAATTGATTCCAAGGTTTACTTGTTAAATGATTTGCACATTTATAAAACATAAATATTAATAAGAAAATAGAGTCTGTTCTGACCTGAGGACCTCGATCTCCTCCGCTGTGTACTTCTGCTTCTGTGGCTCAGAGGACTGCACGGCTCGGACCGGCTGAGCTCGGTCCTGGAGGTTGAAGTCTGGACCTAAAGGGAAGAACTGCCGGACCGGACCCCCAGACCCGGACCCTGAGGACCCCCCCGAAGGCCCCCCAGAGACGGGACGAGACTGAGGGACGGCTTTAGACAAGGACTCTTTCAATCCCTCTGCCCTGAGAAGTAACAGAAAAATCAGAGAGATCAGAGTGAAAGAGTACAAAGATAAGAGAGAGACCATAAAGACCAGAAAGAGACGAAAGAGAGAGAGAGAGAGGGAGAGAGACTAGAGAGAATGAGAGAGTAGAACGATTAGAGAGAGACCAGCGAGAGACTAGAGAGACCATAGAGAGAGACCAGAGAAAGAGAGCAAGAGTAAAAAGATCAGAGAGAGAGAGACTAGAGAGATTAGAGAGACCAGCGAGAGACTAAATAGAGAGAAACCAGGGACAAAGACTGGAGAGAGAGAGAGAATGGAGTGACTAGAGAGACTAGAGAGAGACCAGAGAGAGAAAGAGACCAGAGAGAGGAGACCAGAGAGAGAAGGAGACCAGAGAGAGAGAGAGAGAGAGAGAGAGACCATATATAGAATAAGAGAGAGAGAGGGAGAGAGCAGATAGAGAAAGAGACCAGAGAGAGAGGGAGACCAGAGAGAGAGAGATACAGCAGTGTACCTGTCTAGAGCCTGCCGTGCCAGCTGCTTCAGTTTGTTTTGTAAAACTGGGTCTGACGTCTCGTTCGACTGTTGGAGAAAAAACAGAGAAAGACTGTAAATACTTCTTTTGATGGTGGTGAAAACAGAGGAGGACGTACGGTCTGGATGCAGAGCTCCACCGCCTGCGTGTACAGCTCGATGGCCTCGTCGTGGCTGCTCTTCTCGTCCTCCTCGAACGCCTGCGTCACCAGGAAGTGCGCCCGCTCCAGATCCACCTGGTGCCGGGACTTCAGGGGGTCGCTGGTCTGTGCCTGGACTGAGGACACACGGATCGGTCATAAAGACGTCTGCGTGTTAAGCACTGTAAGGAAGTCAAAGTTTGTTTGTGTGGCGCCTTTCACAGACCAGGATCACGATCGAAAACAGACAAATACATATAATAATATACATAATAAACTAGAGAGACCAGGGAGAGAGAAAGAGACAGAGAGAGAGAGAGAGAAATCAGAGAGATCAGAGAGAAAGACCATAGAGAATAGAGAGACCAGCAAGAGACTAAATAGAGCGAAACCAGGGACAAGGACTGGAGAGAGAAAAGAGAGAAAGGGAGACCAGAGAGAGAGAGAGACCAGAGAGAGAGACCAGAGAGAAAGACCAGAGAGAAAGACCAGAGAGAGAGGGAGACCAGAGAGAGAGACCAGAGAGAGAGAGAGAGAGAGAGACCTGAGAGAGAGAGACCAGAAAGAGAGGGAGACCAGAGAGAGAGACCAGAGAGAGAGAAAGACCAGAGAGAGAGACCAGAGAGAGAGAGGGAGACCAGAGAGGGAGACCAGAGAGAGAGAAAGACCAGAGAGAGAGACCAGAGAGAGAGAGGGAGACCAGAGAGGGAGACCAGAGAGAGAGAGAGAGAGATTAGAGCGAAAGACCAGAGAGAGAGACCAGAGAGAGAGAGACTAAACACTGCAAAAAATGATAACAAATGAGGTAATAATTGCTTGAAAGAGTGTTTTTTATCTAAATCTGAGTTCATTCTGACCGCGTTAGAATTAGATTCTCCAATGGGACAAAGTCATTTTGTGTTATTTCAAGAACTCTTGCTTATTTTCTCATTTGAAGGGAGACATTTATTGCATATTTGTAAAAACAATTAATTTTGCTTTGTCCCATTGGAAAATCCTACAGTAAAGTAGGGTAGAGTAAAGTAGGGTAGAGTAGAGTAAAGTAGAGTAGAGTAAAGTGAGTAGGGTAGAGTAAAGTAGGGTAAAGTAGGGTAGAGTAAAGTAGGGTAGAGTGAAGTAGAGTAAAGTAGAGTAGAGTAAAGGAGTAGGGTAGAGTAAAGTAGGGTAAAGTAGGGTAGAGTAAAGTAGGGTAGAGTGAAGTAGAGTAAAGTAGAGTAGGGTAAAGTAGGGTAGAGAAGGGTAGAGTAAAGTAGAGTAAAGTAGAGTAGAGTAAAGTAGAGTAGGGTGGGGGCAGACTCAGCCTGACAGACACTCTCATAGACCTCATGTACAGACTGTAAATCACAGACGAGGGGTGTCAAACTTATTTTGGTTGTGGGCCGATTAAAAAAGGAAAGCTGTTCAGGGGCCGAAAAAATAAGTGTGTTTCATTTATTACATTTTTTTGGAAAATGAAGGTTTCTAAATAAATTACTTGTTTCACATTAGTTTGATTGGACATTCTTTTCTGATTAGAATTAGTTCAGTTCCTGTGGAATGAACCAAAACTGGACCAAATATTGAAGGTAAAGGAAGATTTTAAAAGATTTTTAAAGTAAAGTAGGGTAAAGAAATGATAAAAATAAGCAAATGGTTTAGGGTAAACAAATTATCTCTAAATGTGAACAAAACTAAATTTATGTTATTTACCAAGTGCTATCAAAATAGAAATATTGAGTTGTGTTTAGATGGAATAAACATTGAAAGGGTAGAAGAAATTCGATTCTTGGGTGTGACCCTCGACGAGAATTTTAATTGGAAATCACATGTTGAAAATACACGAAAGAAATTATGTAAAAACCTCTCTATCCTTCACAAAGTGAAATATTTTTTAACTTATACAGCTCTGAGGATATTATATTTTACATTAATATTGCCATGTCTTTCTTATTGTTTGGAAGTTTGGGGAAATACGTATGTAACCACACTGAAGCCTTTGATAACGTTACAAAAGAAAGCAATAAGAGCCATTCATAAAGTCCATGGGAGAGAGCACACTAACCCATTATTCATAACATCCAAATTGCTAAAGGTACCTGACCTTATAAAAACCCAAACACTTACAATAATGTATAAGGCAAGACACCATTTGTTGCCTCAAACTGTACAAACACTATTTTCGTTTAAATCAGACTCTCGTCTCCGACACAAACTTAACTTTATTCTTCCTTTTGCCAGTACCACCCAGAAGCGGATGGCTATCTCAGTGGCTGGAGTCAAGCTGTGGAACTCCATGAAAGACACTTTAAAAAACTCCACAAATATTTTTCAGTTTAAACAAATATTCAAGGAAACAATAATTAAATCATATGAACTGGAAATTAAATGAAAGAGGATTATTTGTTTTGATGAGCAAACCCTGCTTGTGGCATGTTTTGTATTCGTTATTTCTTTGTGACTGATGTGTTGTTACATCAGACCATCTTGAAAAATGTTGTTTGTTTTTTTTGGAGAAAGGGGCACATAATATAAGTTTGTCTTCTTTGTGCTCCTTTTCAATTGTCTGACTACTATTATTATTTTATGTAAACATGTAAAAATGAAAAAATATTCAGAACAATTGAAATAAATAAAAAATGAAATGAAATGAAATGAAATTTTCTACTTCCGGGTTGATCATCAAAACTATTGGTCCTCCCAACTGTCAATCATTCTGGTGATACATGCTCGTCCAATAAGACCAGAGAGTTTGTTCAAAAGGTGGAGAGGGCGGTTCTCTCTGAAGAAAATTGGGAAATCCTCCTTCATATCTTTAAGAAGAGATGTAACTGAAGACTCGTAGAAAACATAACATAACAATACTAACTTATAATGTAAATTACATGTTGGCTTCACGTTTCTCATGGAAGTAAATGTTATGTTTGTTTTCTTAGTAATGAATAACATGCCATTGTCGACTATTACCATTAATGCTGCTATTTAATATAATCATTTAAAATCATCTCAAGGGCCACTGGAAATGGTCTCGCGGGCTTTGACTTTGACACCTTTATCATAGACCGACAGTGTGGAGCATGTTTAGTTCCTTTGAAAGATAAAACAAACATTGCACAGTATTAGACTTTGCCTCCGCCTGCGTTTCTGCCGCTCCAACATTAAAACCACACTGCGGCCTTCAGCACGGTCCACACCCGGAGGAGCCGAGTCATGGAAACAAGAGCTCACACAGAACAAGGAAACAATCTAGAATATTCCATGTGCTCATCATAAGGCTCTTCTTCAATGAAACTGACCAGATTTCAAGAACAGGCCCAGATTACCTGCTCCGTGAAGGGCTTGCACTCGATCCAAGTATTCGCTCACTTTGTTTTGGATCCCGTCCAGTTTGGAGCCGGCCATCGCAGCATAGAGCAGGGCTTGGGCCGCCTCCTGAACGTACAGCGTCAGAAAAGAGTTTAGTTGTTTAGCACAGTTTATACACAAGGAAACTCAAACTGCTGAACAAAACAAGATTGAGACGTTGAAAACAGACGGTTAGGTTAGGGTTAAATCGTAGTATTATTAAAAAGAGCATACTTCAGTTGTATGCACAGCTAAAGAGAACCGTTTTTAACCTGGATTTGTCAAGAGGTGAAGCCTGTCTCACATTTTCCGGAAGAAATTTGAAACACCCCATGTTTAGTCCCGACTCTGGGCCCCAACAGGTCCTTGAGCTTCCCAGAGTCCGATTTGGTTCATATGGCTCTAACTACGACAAGAGACTCCAAGCGGCCATAGATGTTAGCGTTAAATACATGCTATTGCTAACTGGGGATAAAGTGAATTCGTGTATATGGGGAGCTTTTAAGTTCGACTCATTTTTGAGATTTTTCAGGAGTGACAAAAACCTTGAATGTATGAAAGTATGTTCATGCACGTATGTATGGTTGCATCATGATTAATAAGAAAATGCTGTAATATACATGAACTCAAACCTGTCTCACATTATCCACAGAGTCAGAGTTGGTTCATATGGCACTAACATGTCACAGATGTACTTTGGTGCGAAGCCATGGAGAGACTTTAAAGTCCAAACAAACAAGAGAAATTGTTTTATAGCGGGACAAAGCCACATTAGAGTCATAAAGAAATGATCAATATATTTCCAGTAAAAGAATGGACAAACATATACACTCTGTCCTGTGGTAATATTGATATATGAAGCAAAAAGTCATAAAGCAGCCTCATTTCACACCAGTATGTTTTAACTAAAGGTATATGGAGAATTTTCCCACATTTTAGGAAAACACCGCCCTCTCCACTCTTTGAACAAAACTCTCTGGTCTTATTTAACGAGCACATATCATCAGAATAGTAGAACATCTTTTATATACCTTTACAGTAGAGACGGGCGGTGTCCTTCATGTAAACACAGATGCAGCTGTCTGTATTATTCTATTAGAGTCTTGTGTTTTGGTGTCTGTCTGTGTCTTGTTCTAATGTGGATCTAGAGTCTGGATGAAGAAATGATGATGATTGACACGGTATGAAGCCAACACGATCCATTAAACCCACATGACATGCTTTGATGAATAAATAAGTGAAAGTAAATCACTTTGATCCTCCATCACAGAGACAGTGGCAGCCAAACACACATGAGCACAGACATCACACTGTACGCACCTTGTAGTAAAACACAGCTTCGTTATATTTCCCATTCTGATCGTAGGTCACCGCTGTTTTGGCGAATCTGAGCGCGTCTTGCTCCAGGGCAGAGCTGTCCATCCTCCCCTGGACAGAGCTAGCTCCACAGGCTAACAGCTAGTTAGCTTCAAACCTCCAAATGTTGTTTTCTCAGTGTGACGCGGGCTTTAAAGGGTGTATATACATCAAAAATACAGACGTGTCAGTGTTTAATGCCCCCACAGTCACAGAAGTCCCCGCACAGCATGACTTCTCACTTTGACAGCGAGTAACCGCGAGTAACCAAAACCAAAACAACACGGAACTTCCGGGGTGAAGCCTCACGCATGCGCACTAGGACTGACTAATCTATACTTAGAAAACAGTACATTAACATGAGTTTATCTACATGCATATTAATAACAGCACACTACAGACATCATATATTTATCCGTTTATGTGTGTGTGTTTTTTTATACGTTGAATTATTTAACAATAAGAAATACACATTTCAGCCACACGGTGGCGATGATTGATCACAGAGAGAGTGAAGTGAACCGAGTGGACTCAGGACTGGACTGTAAATGTAGCTGTGTGCTATTAGATGTCTTTCTGAACCTGAAACAAAGAATGAACAAACTAAGAGAATGAAAAGAACGAAATTAGGAGCTATATGCGTGTAAACATATAGGTATTCTACCAAAATTAACCAATAAAGAATATAATTGCAAAGGCACACACACACACACAAATAGAAA